TATCTATCTATCTATCTATCTATCTATCTATCTATCTATCTATCTATTAATTAATCTTAATTTTTCTTTTCTACAGGCTCTCCTCGATACCCAGAAACAGCTACGTTCCTATATCTATAACTTTACCTTCAATCTGGGATTCTCTGGGAAATTCTACCACACAGGTTTGTGTTTTTCTTCCTCGTGCCTGTACCCGGTCAGAATGATGTAAAGATATTCTAGGTTATATACAGTGTTGTGTTATTTTATCATACTTTTGCTGAATAACTTTTCTCCTCTTTTTCAGCAATAATTTGGGTAGTTGACACTGTAATAAATAAACATATATGATTGGCAAATAAAAATGTGGAAAAACAGTGATTTAGTTTTTAATCAGTGTGGCTTTCATGAAATAACATTTCCAAGTAAGGTCTTTCTCTTTGAAGATGTGATTTCACACTACCTTAATATAGAGATGCAAATTAATATTTATCAAGGCATATTTAAGAGGTGATTACATACTGCGGTGTACTCTCTGCTGTATTCTGACGCCGAGGGCAGATATTATTGATCCTCTTGCTTCACTCTCTAAATCTGAAGTGAGAGAACAGAGGTGGAGGACAGACAAAAAGAGGAGAATCTAAAATGCTTATAATTAGAATCTGTGATAAAATCCATTATAATAGCATCAGATGTTCTGGTGGTATCAGACCACCTTATTAGCAAACCAATCCAAAGAAAAAAAAAAGATTTTGTTTCTGCAATTCCCTGACCATACATTTGCAAGTAGTAGTGAAGAGCAGGAAACTCAATTGCCTTTAGACCTTGAGTGTGCATCTGTTTTTGTGTATGCAGGCACAGTGGAAGAGGATGAAGGAGACGATCTTCTACTAAAGTATGTAGATGAGTTCTGGTGGTTCCCTCACATGTGGAGCCACATGCAGCCTCACCTCTTCCACAATGAGTCCTCCCTGCTGGAGCAGATGGTCCTTAATAAGGAGTTTGCTCTGGTAAGATGGACGCTCGAGCACGTATGCAAGCTTCTTGCAGCTGTTTGTTTTGGTACAGTGTCTCTCTTGTGTGTCTTTTTAATTGTACTTGTTCCTCGTGATGGTGCTCTTCTTCAAGGACGTCTGTTGCTGCAGTAATTGTCATTTCTTTACGGCAGCAGATTAAAGGCAAGATGTTGTTAGGTCAGACTGCCGGATCTGTTCTACACAGTGAAGAACTTTTTTAGGATGTTTTGCAGCGATTAGAACAGCATATACTAAAAAAATGCTTTGACATCATTTAAAAGTTTTTGCAAACTAAGGATATGAACACATAATTACAACATACTGTGTTCTTCTAGCAAGCCTAAAATAATATTTAACCATGGGCTAACTGGAGTCTAGCTTTTCCCACTGGTTGCGCCTTTTGAGAGGTGCTAATGTCAACTTAATTTAATTCATCCTTGCCTGAAGAACATTTGTCATGAACTGAACATTAAATAGAAATAAATGAAGTAAAGAATAACTTAAGGGGAAAAAAACAGTAAAGCTTTATTTTATCTAATAGAAAAAAATACAAAAATAATTCAACAGATTGCAGCTATATAAGATAAAACAAAGAATAAATATAGTCCATTAAATGATGAGTTAATAGCTCAAAATGTCAATCTGTCTTACAGGGAGCTGCATTTGTGTCCAAATGACTAATTCACTTAAACTCAAGGTCCAAAGTGACTAATTAAGTTAGAGAGTAGTGCCTCTACTTTCCTCTACTGGATAAGATGTACTCAAATGCATAATTAGTAACAAACTCAGCAGGTGGATTTGTTAATTCCTTATTTCTCATTACAGGTCAGCTTTATCTGTTCCTAAATGGTCTCTCTCTTGCGTTATGATCTTTTTTTAGTGTCTCATGTTCAAAGTTTGAGGTCAAGGCAGCAAGCAAAGAGATGAAATACACGGCACTGCTGCCTGTGCAGTATCATTACCTTTTAAACTGCTCGAGTGTTTCATGGTGATTGAAAAAGGCCCTTTCGTTTCTCCGTGTGATGTCACTCGTCCTGTTGAGAACAGGACAGAAATTATGGTTCGCCTCACCATGGTAACCCTGTATTTTGTCACTCACATGTACAGTATATACAAACACAAACTTTTGACCCATCTGTCCAAATACTCCAGGTGATGTTCGATTGAAGTTTGAAAGAAAAATACAACAATTGTTGGATGAGAGATTTCCTAGTCACCCCGATGCAGTAATACCGTTTGCAAGGTTGCACAGTCCCCTTAGACGGTCTCAGTTTGGAGCTCATTCATTTGTAAATCGATGCATTTTTCATTCAGAAAATAATTTATTTTAATAGCTGTTGTTCATATTTCAAACAGTTGCTTCCAACCCAAAAGATTTTGATATTAGGTACTCACCTCTTTGGTGAAGACCTCCAATATGAGTTAGTAAGGGGAGATTTGAATTCTTCTATAAGCTCACGGAAAAGCAAATATGGCACAAGCAAGATTTAAAGCAATCGACATTATGTACGGGTGAAATTTTTTCCCCATCATTTTCCTTAATAGGACTGTGAGCTATCCATCCATGTCATTGTCCCCAAATCACCTAACAGGAATTTAACACACAAATTGTGGCCTCATGCCCTGCTGACGGCAGCTGGAAATGTGGGGCTGAATTGCAAAGCGCGACTGAGATGATCATCTCAGGTTTTTACGGTATTAAGTTTGCATTCATTTCTAATTCCTGTGCTTCTGACATCACCTGTTGATGTTAGTTGTTATTTTCACTTCATTTGATGTAAGAAAGTTAGATAGAACAGAGGCTGCGGTTGCTATGGCTACCTATTTTAAATGTAGTCTGAGTCGTTCGCTCTCAGCGGTACAGACAGCGTATTAATTTGGATTCGTGGATGGATAATTTAATTGGATCTATGACTAGTTACCCTTTATTAAGAATTAATAGACACCCTGCAGCCGGTCAGGATGGACTGTTCACCCTGACTGGGCTATAACCTGATAATAAATAATCAGATGACATTACGCCCACTGCATTACATATTAGCCAGTGTTAATTAGTTGCACAGTAGATGTGTTAAACAGCGAAGTGGTCCAATCATTTCGCAGTTTTCCTTTTCACAAAATTGTATTTCTATTTTTGTTTTGACAGGGACACCTGAGCTCTTTCAAATTTATATTCTATTCATTTCTTTTTTCAAATTTCAAGTTTGTTAAGACGGGTTCTTTTGCTGAGCCCTTCTTTGTTGGTATGTTTGTGTGCTGAGATGATTTGTGTGATTGTACTGGACAATGGTGTCACATGTGCAATACAACAGAGGAACTGCTTCATGCCATCGAAGGTGAGCCTGAGCATAAAGTGTGATCACTAACCACTGTCGTACACACACACACACACACACACACACACTTATGCTTCACTCCCTCTTCTCCTGACCGCTGATGCTTAGCTTTGACAGTGTGTGTAGGTGTGTGTCAGAGCAAAGGACAACACCATCAGTCTTCTGGATGCACCCAGCAACCATCTACCCTCGAGCTCGCACACAAACATAAGCCGGCGCAAACTATATTTTTTCTAATTTCCAACCCGAAGGCCAGTCCCATAACAAACAGAACACAGCCCGTGTGCGTCCCCTTACAAGGTCAAACTGCGCTCTGCGTGTTTATGTGAGACCGAGTTCTTTGTCTTTAAGCTATAAATGTGCCATTATTCGTACATTTATTTATACACCTTTCACGTACGTGTCCATGTACGCCCCTCTCCCTTCTCTCCACTTCAAGGAGCACAACATCCCCGTGGACATGGGCTATGCGGTGGCCCCTCACCACTCGGGCGTTTACCCGGTCCACCTGCAGCTGTACGAGGCATGGAGGCGCGTGTGGAACATCCGGGTCACCAGCACGGAGGAGTACCCCCACCTTAAACCGGCCCGTTACCGAAAGGGCTTCATCCACAGCAACATAATGGTGAGCGCAGGCAGAATTCTCTCCTCGTCAAAAGAACTGATCAAACCACGGAAACATTCAGGAACCTGTCAGCTTCACCACATGCTCACATCAGTGAAAGCGCTCGTCCTCGCCGCGCGCGCGTATCTGTGAATGCACTTTGATCAACTGACATGTTTCAGCACATACATGAAAAGTGAAATGCTTCCCCACATCCCACCTGCCGGATATTCAGAATTGACTATCTCCTTCTTTTTGTGCTGATCAGCGACTGCTCTCACAAGGTTCATTGTAACAGCCCTATGTTTCTTTTCTTACCATTATCATCCTCTGTCACGCATTCATTAGGCCATTTGACAGAATACCTTTCATATAAATCAGAGTTGGCTCCGTGATCACCCGTGTTCTATAAATCCTGTATCACATCCTGGCTCTAGCGGGTTAAAATATAGATGTGTTGAGTACTGTAGAATTTTTGCATGCTATCATATTTAGAACTCCTGAGTCAAACATAACACAGAGGCACTTTGTAGTGTCCTCAGACAAATAGAACAAATATTTGCTTATTTGAATTAAAACGATGAATAATTCATTTGTACTGCAGCTAAATGAAAGCAGTCTCGGTTTGGATACTTTGTAGTTCAGCTCAGACCTTTCATTTTGCTTTGAAATGGGTTTAACTGTTGTTTCTCTGTCCAAATAAGTGTTGGCTGAATAGCAAATTGTGTGCTGATTGTTTTGTGCGGTTCTAAACAGAAAATCAATGCTGCTGTGCGTGGTGTGTTACCTCTCTGTGTATGCCTATGTTTATGAGTATGGGATGTTTGACCTTCTCTCAGCACAGCACGCTCACCTCAGTTAATTCAGTATTTTACGGCCTCCAAATGCAGCAGATGGGGTCAAGTTTTTTTTAACTTAAAAAAAAAATTGAATAAGTCTGTTTAAGTCTAAGTAGGTTTTACAGTTTTTTCAATTACCGCTGCTTAAGCCGGCGAAAGAATAAAACTTTTGTCGGCTGTTTCATGTCGACAAGATTCGTCAGCACTCCCTCTGTCTCTCTGCCTCTTCCTTTTCATTCACTTGTCAGTCAGGCCTTTTGTAAGTGAGCACAACAGTCCCTTAACTGACAATAGAGCCAATCACATCTGACACCAGAATCATCAGAAAATGTTTTTCTGCCATGTTTGGTTCTCGAGCAAACAATATGAAGAGACGGCTGTATCAATTTTCCAATCAGTCTTTGAACTCCGCTTTTATTTCTCGACATCTTGTCACTGCATCACTAAAGAGTCCCACTTAATCCTGCATCCTCTCAGCACAATGCCGGCAAACTGACTTTTTGACAAGCCGTAATATGTTATTTTACATTAATAATTAGTATCTGCAAATCACTGAAATCATAGAAAATATCAAAGACACTGAATCCATGTGAATGAAATTGATGTAAATAAGAAAAATAATAAACAAAACACCAGGAAAAAGAATAGACCTAGTGACAGTTCCTCTCCAAGGAATGCCTTTCTTTTTTTGTTGTTGTTCGTTTGTATTTCAAAAACAAAAAACCTATTCAGGTTACATGCTTCTTTTTTTTCGAGGAGGAAAATCAGCTCACTTTGCCACAGGAACAAGGACATATGCAAATCAGATTTATTCCACTGAGCTTCCCCAGCCTCTCTGCTTTGTAAGAAAATGGGGGGACTTAATAGGGAGCTGCTGATCATGCTACTTACACCAAGTCACACTGGAAGCTGAGGAAAACACCCTCCACAGCTGGGTAAAGACTCTCTAGAGAGACCTGCCTACTCTGCTGCAAGCTAGATGTGAAGGGAAAAGGTATAAAAAAGTGGTGAGATGACAACACCTCTGGTAAGCTTAGCTGGACCGTAAATCAGTGAAGCAGAATTATTTGCCTCTGGTGCTCTCAAATGCATCCTTGACTTTGCTGCATTTAACTGACTTCCATCTCCAACAACATGCCTGAGAAAAAAAAAAGCCAGGTATCACTCCACCCCACAAGCGGTGATGTCAATGTTTACGGCTGGATTTGGAAACAGGACAGATAGAAGTAGAAGTAAATGTATTAACTGTCCTGCAGTTTGTGAACATATTACCTAAAGACCTAAAACTCACATTACTAAAAACGACTCAAAATTTACTGGTGAGACCTTCAAGAGGACGTACATTTTCTAACATGTTGGTTCTGTGCTGGTTTTTCATGACAGAAATTTGAATATTTATAGTTTCAAGTCACTTTGCCATCGATAAAATCAAATATTCTAAGATTCTGATGGTTCAATGAGCCTTCTGACCTCCTGTGATGCTATTATGAACATCAACCTCACATCTTTTATACGTTTTGGTTTCTTTTAAAATTTTCACGTCCAATTGTTAGTTCCATCTACTTCCATTAATCTCCCTCTCCCCTGTTGTGTGCTCCGTCTTTGTTTGCTCAGCAGAAGACAGGAAGTTGTCTTAACGCGGTAAAATTGGTGTTTGTGTGTCTCTGTCAGCAGATTGAGAGTCACCCACTGGACCCACAGTATCAGAACAAATCAGACTGAGATATGGGGCTGTGTTGTGAAGCTGTGCCTGTGCGTGCGTGTTGGTGCTGCACATTCATGCATACTTGTGTGTTTGTGTGTGTATTTCTTTTTAAAATGTACTATATCAGTTTGAGCTATAGCTCTGTGGATAATTGGTTTGGTGAAATAGTGCTGAGTGTCTGTGGCTATGGTGGTCTTCTCTCTCACTTCTGTGTGTGTGTGTGTGTGTGTGTGTGTGTGCAGTGTTTTATAGATAAACCAATATCTGCGCTTCCAGCCTTTACTCCCTATTTCACACAGAGAAGTGCTCTACAAGGAGTTAGCCATGAAGACCTTCTCTCCTCCGCTCTTTCCTTCTCTTCTATAATTTAATAAACAAATGAAAAGGCAATGGCTCACCTAGGGCGTGGTGGCACATTAGGGTTTCTGATGCCAAAGGAGGAGTCTGCTTCTGTTATTTTCTCCTTTTGCACCTAGTCTTTGCAATACCAAAACAGGTGCAGGTAATCGTATAAATGCAGTGCAAGAGATTTGATTAATCACCCGAACAAATCAATGCCCTGTGCGATGCACCTGCAGGAAAACAGGGTCTCTGCTGCGGTAGAGACTTCAGGTTCCTCCTCAGGTGCCCCGGCTCAAGCATTTTGGATTCCATTGACTGCACTTACTGTAGATGCATATATCCAGGAATTGTTGGTAGACTCATTTGCTTGTCACAATTCTTTCTTTCTCTCTCATTTTTTACCATTTAGCAGGATTAGTAAACAGGACTTTTTTTTTCAGTGGGTCAGCCTGTGTTGGCCACGTTTTGTGAGTTATTTGTCAAAGGAGTTAGATATGCTACAGGTCAGAACTTATTTTGTGCAACATTTTCCACTTAAAGACTTTGACGACAGCTTGAACATTTAAAAATATTTGTACGCGCCAACTCAAACAGACTTCTATGAATGTGTAAAACGTGCAAAAGAATAAGTGTGTTCGTGTTTCCATTGCAGTCCATCAGAGGAGTAGCTTAATAACACCCATGATGAACCATGAGTGAATGCAAATTAAAACCTTTACAACTTAAAACAAAAACAGATCTTGATTGGTGTTTTTATTTTTGAAAAAATGGAAACTTTTTTTTCTGCAAAAACTAAAACAGGTAAAAAAAATTAGAAATGTTTCCTTTCTCTTTAAGATTATATTATTGGTATTTTCTAAATAAGGCTGTGTGAATGACTTATGAAGAGTCAGCGTCTGGCTTTCCGCATGCAGTGGTCAGAGCGCTCAGGTTTAAAGAATTAGAAAAAATCCCTGAAGTCAGAGAGCGAATTTGCTCAAAAAAGGGACAGCAGTGGGCTGATTTTGCCATTTAAGGTAGCTCAAACATTGTTAAGCTGGTACAGGCTAAAGCTCAGTTGTGGATTTTTTCAGCTTTGAGTTGAAACGTGAGCCTGATTTTCACTCTCTTACAATAGAAAATATCCTAATAAGAGCAGCTTTCCAGGGAATGCAGTTGTATTAATGTTGTTATTTTCACAAATAGATAATAGTCCCCAACCATATTATCGCCAGGGTTTCTAAGAAGCTTAATTTAGATTATAGAATTACAATTGGATTAACTTATTAACCAATGAATTAAAATTGTTCCAACTAACTAATAATGCTTAGATTAAACAAAGCCCCCTGGCATTTAAACCTTGACCACATGCTGTATCGAAGTACAGATATATCCAAATATATGCTACCTGTTCTGCTGGACCTTTTACAAATTTTAGTCACCATCAGAAAACCCTCTAACCAGGCCTTCTATTTATTTAATATTTTCAGCTTTACATCACTCATCTGCTGTGTCAAGTGTGTTTCAAGTCATTTTTGTTTTCTGATAGCTAATTTCAGGTACTTACAAAACCACATGAGTTTCTGTCATGGTGGATGTCCTAATTGACTAAGATTATGTGGACTGTGCTGATCAAAGTGTTTTCTCAAGTTTTGTGGAGTTCTTATGCATGTGTGAAAGATGAATATCAGCATTAAACCTCATGTGGTAATTGAGGAAGCCAAATTTTCATAGCTTCTTCTCAGTGGTAAATCCGGACATAATTTGGCCAATTATGCAAATTTAGGATTTTAACCAGGAAATAGGAAGTTTGACTTTTTTGCTTTTTGCTTGTATTTGAAAGCATTCAAAATATGAAAATATAAAAGGCCAGATCAATCTTCTTTCTTTTTTCACTGAGAATCATTCGGTAAAAGTACTTTACAATCCTTTGGGTTTACTTTGTCAAATGCCAGTGTACCATAAAGATATGAAAGAAAAATAACAGCTCTCTCTTTGTCTGCGTGTCCATTTGTGTGTTCAGGTGCTGCCTCGTCAAACCTGTGGCTTATTTACTCACACCATCTACTATAAGGAATACCCCGGTGGACCCAAAGAACTGGACAAAAGCATCCGTGGGGGAGAGCTGTTTCTCACTGTGCTACTCAACCCTGTGAGTCAGAGAAAGCAGGCACACAAATCACAAATCACGCAACTCATGTAGCCTGGTAAGACAGACAGAAGAACAGAGAGGGTGGTTGCACTCCTTTTCTTTCTTAAAGAGGTATTATCAGGGTTTTCTGCTCACACTTAAAAGGAACCTTCCTCTCAATCTTTTTTTTTTTTTTTTTTTTTACGTGTGTCTGTCTATTTTCCTGACAGGGGCAGCCTCTCGGTGTGGAGCTGTGGTTATCTTCCCCACTTTAAATTAGGTCTCACCACAGGGGGGTTGCTGTCACATACATACGTACACACACACACGTACAATTTCCTCCTCTCGCTTACCCCTGCAGTGTATGTCAGCTCAGCTCAACTTGGCTTTGAATTAAGGAACAGAAAATAGGTTTTAGGTTAGAGTTAAAAAGCTGATCTACATGCAGATGCTTGTGAGGGCATGTGCGCACACAGTTAAAGATAGGCATGGTTATTCATAGCGATAGCTCCTTCTTTTTCACTCTTTTTCTGTCGGTCTCTTTCTCAAACCACACACATGCACATGCCCAGACGCACACAAAGATGCTTATAGACCGGCAGTAAGTTGTATTGAAGTGTCAGGTAAGGGATTGCTGAACCAGAGGAGCTGTCAGAACCCACCGAACATCAGAGTCGAATGAAGCTCCGCACAATAACCTTGTGCAATGTGACTTCTTCTTATTCCTTTGTATCACTTTATCTCTGACTGTACTTCTTTTACTTTCCAGTTTGTTTTGTTTTCATCTTTACCTTTTGGTATTGTTTTCATTTTATGTTGACTCTTTTTTATAGTTGAGTGTTAAATTTCTTTTTTTATCTTTCAATCGCTTTAATCAAACTGGCTATCTATCTTCTCTCGTATAAATGGATCAATTTTTTAATTACATATGTAACACGACACCTATATAGCGTATCATGATTTATCTATAGAAGGATGGTTCATTGTTCTCCCCATTACTTAAGTAATTTCATTTTCCATAAAACTTATGGAATAATTACGTTGTATCACAAAAGTCCTTCCTGCGAAAAGAATATTTCTCGGATGAAATGCATGGATGAAATAGAAAACAGCAGCCATATGACATTTTCCCCTGGAAGCTGAATGTGTGTGCGTGTGTGTAGCCAGTCCAATTGATAGCCACTTAAAAGGCACAGGGACAACCAATACTTGAGGTCGCCAGTGATGTCAGCCAAACATTAGCTCAACAAACCTGGAGGGATTCTTCTTCACATTTCTTGTTGCTGTGCTTCGCATAAGCCGCCTGCTCCCTACTTCTTATCTTTTGTGCTTCTCCTTGTTTGAGATTAAAACTTTCTTAGTGTTCAATCATTAATGACAGGGCCGGTTAGATGTGAGTAATTTTGCCTCTGTATGAGAACTGTGACGTATATGACTGAGCCTGCTGGCACACAAGCACACACGCGCACGCCGATGATTCATGTCAGCTTCTCACTGCTATGTTTTAATTTGCAGACACAAAAGCTTAATTAGTGTATGCACTTTCTGCTTAATCAATAGCACTCTGTAGCTCACTGCTTAGGTCTCATGGGGGTTTCCTGTTGTTTGATGATCTACACACCAGTAACATTGCCACTTCCTGTTCAATGACACTAAATCACATATGGCATTTTGTGGCAGTTTGCCACTGACTGTTTTTTTTTTTTTTTCATCATTCTGGGCTGCATCAACACAGAGCACAGAGATCCCAAATCTAGTACAGTGTACAGTCGACAATCGACTGGACTTTGCAAACAGCCAACAGGGCACACGTCTTTCCCCGATAACTGGCCGGAGAAACGGTGAGAGGGAAAGGACGAGCAGGAGGAGATGGTGGGATAGAAGCGGGAGCACCGGGTGAGAAGGTGGCAGACAGATTGAGATTTAATTTTCAGGGCACGGCATCTTGTGTCACTTGAGAATCCAGACACATATGGAGAGGAAGTGATGCACATATAGGTCCTCGTGCACACAAACATTTGTAATGCATCTATTTGTTTGCTCAATGCATTCAGTATGTACATGTGCATGTATATGTGTGCCTTGTGTAAATGTGTGTGTAGCTGGCATAAGCCGAGCTTTAGACATATATCAGGGCTGACATTTAGCGCTTAGCTCTGCCACTAAGCTTATTAGCCAAACACCAAATATCAGCACAATCTCTCTCTCTCTCCTGGCTCCCTGTTTTACCCACACCTCACCCTCAGCGTTCCTCATCATTTTTCCACCATCTGGGCCTTGGAGGCCTTCGGTTTCACTCCATCTTTTTCTTCTTGTGTCTTCTTCACAACTGTCAGCCTCTGCCTGTAGACATTGCTCACACATGTAAATCTTTCCACACTTGCTCAGTCTCATTCTCAGTCTCGGCTCCCTCCCTCCCCTTATCAGGAGTCCTGCTGATTTTAACTGAAAGCTTTTGCAGCTCATCAACACATTCGAGCCATCAGATGCACACACATGCGCACAGACACGCACATAAACACGCACGCACACATTAATCTACAATTCAAACAGAAGGCAAAATTACAAAGTGAGAGTAAAGCAGTGAAAGATGACAGAATAGAAGGGAGAGGGTGGGTAGATGCTGACTGGAGCAGGCAGAATAAATTGAATTGAAATCATTTGCTGTACTGATGCTCAGCTTTCAATTATCCTCTGATGAGACAGACTGTAAGAAGCAAATAGAAAAAAACACTGCAGGAGGGACGAGAAGAGAAAGAGCGATGACGAAAAGGAAGAGAGAATGTGGGGGTGGACTAAGGAGGCGGTAGTAGTCTTTTTAGTAGCAATAACAATTCAATCAAGGAAAAATGTATGTGGAACTAAGTGGTCTGTAATGGGAAAAAGGCTTCTGCTGTGGAGATGAACAATGAATGGAGGTGGTAGGCAAGAGGCCAATAAGGGAAAAAAGAGTGCACTCTTATGGCATGACAACATAAGAAAGTTGTAAAGAAACATTTTAAGAACTAACAATACTAAGATTATTTAACCTAGGATTATACAACCAAACCACGAACAACTGCAGCACCTCTCAGCACCACCCACAATAAATCAGTTTTTCCAGTATACTTAGATTACTTGCTTTTCCATGATGAACAACACAGACT